GTGAACGGAGCTTTGCAGAGAATAATCTGATGCTTCTTTATTTTAGGTCACTTTCAGAAAGAGAAGAAGAAGAGTCGGAGATCAAATCTAATTTCAATAAACAAAAACCAAGAAGTTCTGCGTTTTAAAGAATTCCCCCTTGATGTCACTTCCTGTTTCGCTTTGGCTGCACCAAGTTCAAAAGAAAATATGTCAATTGTGTGACCAAATTGTTAAATTAATTTGTATTATGCCAAATTTATTAAATATTAAGATGTTTTCCTCCACTTTTAGGATTTGTAGAAATGCATGTCGCAGGAACTTTAAGTTAAAAGTAGAAAAAAGGCTAATAAAAATGGTGAAAGCCTAGCTAAATGCTAAAAGTGGCAAAAAGGTAGTTCAACGCTATAATTAGCATGAGAATATGATAATAGACAAAGTATGCTGAAGCAGTTTTTAAAGAGAAATAAGAGCTCTTATTGTATTTTTGTGGGTGAGTTTTAAATAAAGTTAAACATTTTGAAAAGTATAAACGCTACAAATATCTTAGTCCACTGTTCTTAATCAAGACAGACATTGGTTTTGGTTGAACATAAAAAGTATTTGGAAGTTGTTTGCAAAAAGTTTACAATAGAAACCGAACGCTCACTGGGCGCCTACACGATGAGATGTAATGGTGGTGATGGTGAAGTTTGCTCATTCCGTGAGCTTCACCTCAAACAGGTGATTGGCTGCAGAAGGGTCTTTCTGTTTTCTTTTCCAGTTGTAGAGTGGGCTAGTGAGTGAGTTTTAATTTAATCCCTGGTGGTAATCTTCCAGCAAGCTCCGCTCATCCCTTCATCCTTTCCAATTCACCCCTGTACCCTTTAATCCTGCTTGTTTTGGACTCTTTTTGACCCTCACTGGCAACCTTATTCCAGACAGAATGAGGTTAAGTATCGGTGTAATCCAACAATACAAGAAGTGTAAAAAATGTTTGAGGAAAAAAACCCACCCAATCCACAAAAAGTCATTATTTAGGTTTGGTGGTGATGCTTCTTCCACCCCAAGGTAATTTGTACGTCTCAGTTTCCAATTAAGGCTTAACGATTCTGCAAATTAATGAAAGAGCAAACCAACAGAAAGTAGAGATTTTTTTTCTTCTTCATTAGATTTAGTTTTCACTGTTAGGCATGCAATGTAGATGATTTTAAAGCGATTCTTTTTCCTCTACATAATAAATTAAACGATGGCATTTACAACATTTTTATGACTGAGAGAGACATTTATTTGTCATTCGGATCTCGTGGTGAAGCGAGATTATGTACACAGGGTCCCAGTTACATCCAACAATAAAATGTAAAAGAAAAACAGTAATAAGATCTAAGATATAAACTAAGAATAATGTTAACACTAAGCACTAATAGTATAAAAACATTACGTCGAACAGCGGCACGAACATGAGTCTTTGTGAGCAGAAACCAACCTTAAATATAGGATTTATTATTATTATTGTGGGACCGTTGGAATCTTCTGTAGCTCACAGTTCAAGAATCTAAGCTTTGACTTAAATATTCTGCTCAGCAGCTGTTTTGTTTTAGGCTTACTTTTCAGTCCGTTTCTGCCTGCCTTGTTAATTTGGCAGTCGGGGCGCAAGAGACACAGGTGTGTGGTTGCCATGGTGACCATAATGAGCCATCGTTTTTAACACCGGCACTGGTCGTACATCAAAATGTAGGCATTATTATTAATTTTTTTTGTCATCTTGAGTTGTTGCAAAGGTGTTTGAATTTTGGGCAGGAACTACACTTTCCAGTGTGCACATTTAATTTAAACGCTAAATAAAGAGCACACGCTACTTTATCCTTTTTCTTACACTTTAATGTTAAATTATAGATTATCACGTCTCCATCTAATCTACTTGGCTGCTATGACCTTGTTCAGATGTTTATCACATATTATGACCTTTTACTTGTTACATGATGCATTTCTGTGTTTTTTTTATATTTTTTATGTTTTTTTATTTAGTTATTGCGAAAGAGGCACATTGGCAATGACATCGTCACCATAGTATTCCAGGAGCCCGGGGCCCTTCCTTTCACCCCAAAAAACATTCGCTCTCATTTCCAGCATGTGTTTGTCATCGTCAAAGTCCACAACCCGTGCACTGATAACGTCTGCTACAGGTAAGCGGAACAAAACGGCTTTTTTTCCTCTAAGGCTCTTTCAAATTATAGTTCTCTGTTCTGTAAAGAAAAAAGATAAGAGTTGAACCCTGTAATAAGGAGGAAACTAAAAGTGCTAATGACGATAAAGGCGAGCACGTTTTGTCGGTTTGATGGGCTTTGCGTAGATGTCTTCACGCCAAAATGGACTTTTAGAGGTTCTAATTTGAAAGAGGGATAATAATAGCTCTTCGGTGTTCCTGCAGTGGTTTCTGTCATGACTTTATAGTAATGTGCACAAATCACGGGGCACTTTTGATCCGTTCTCTGAAGATGCAGTTATTATCTTCACCGACACCTTGAAATTAGAACTTGGAACTTTGTCAGATTTTATTTATTTATTTATTTATTTTTTTAAGTTAAGGTAACACTCGTTGATTTCCTCCTTTGAAAAATAATTTTCTTGAATGCCATTTGATTCAGTTCAGTTCAGTTTGTTTATAAAGTGCCGAGTCACAACAGAAGTCGTCTCAGGGCACCGAACAGAAACATCCACATACATTAAAAGTAGAGATGCACCGATCCACTTATTTCACTTCCGATCCGATACCGATATCTACGTTATGTGTCGGTCTATACCGATCCGATGCCGATCGGATACAAAAAAAAAAACTGTGCTGAATTAACAAAAATGGCTAAATCATGTCACCTGGACCCGTTTCTGAAACAGGTCCAGATGACATGATTTAGCCATTTTTGTTGTCTACCTGGATGTTTGAGCTTACAAACCCAGTGCTGAATTAACTTAAAACATTTGTTTTGTTAAACGCAGACATGAATGTACAAAACTCTGCACCATAGCAGCACATTTAAACACACCAAGAGCTTCTCAAGCTTGGTAACTTTGTAGTAGACTCTCATCCTAAGCAAGCACAGAGGCAACAGTGGAAAGGAAAAACTCAGTTTTAACAGGAAGAAACCTTTAGCAGAACCAGACTCAGGACCAGCAGCCTTCTGCTTCGACCGGCTGAGTTTGAGAGGACAGGAAGGAGGAATAGATACACAATGGCAGATCCAGGATGGAGGACGTCACATTTTTCTCTAGGAGGAAATACAAAAAAAGACAAAAAATAAAACCAAGCAGAATTCACACATTAAGAAAGAATAATTACAAATGCAAACTATTTATTTGTATGTATTTGTAAGTATTCATTTGATAAGTGAGGTCAATT